AGTGAGGGAGTGAGTGATGGGGAGAGTTGGGGAGTGGGGGAGGGAGTGAGGAGAATGTGAGGGAGTGGGTGAGTCATAGTAAGTGAGTTGGATAGTGTTATTTATCGAGTGAATGTGAATGAATATTAGCGAGTGAGTAAACGGGAGAGCAAGTGAATGAGTGATAAAAAAGAAGAATTAGAAAGAGAGGAAACAAAATAACAAACGTCCAAAAGGTAAAGAGAGAAGAGAGAAAAGAGAGTCATGTGACGAGAGTGGATAAAGCGAGGGAGGTAAGGAAGAGGAGGGGGTAAGGGGGGTAGAGGGGGGGGGGCGGTGAGTGAAGGGTGGATGGGCTGCCTTATTCATGAACACGACTTGTAAGGAAGAAGGGAAACTGATGCATGTATTAGGTCTCCCATGCGCCACAGGGGGGGGGGCACATACGCACACACTCGCACTCACACTCACACGTACACGCACACATACGCACACATACGCACACTCACACTCAAACGCGAACGCACACTCACACGCACACGCACTCCCATGCACACTCACACGCACTCCCACACACGCGCACACGCACTCACCACACACAACACACACACACACACACACACACACACACACACACACACACACACACACACACACACACACACACACACACACACACACACACACACACACACACACACACACACACACACACACACACACACACACACACACACACACACATATAAAGTTACTGACTGGCAGACAAACAGACAGGCAGGCAGACAGAAGAATGAGGAGAAGCGAATGAGGGAGAGACGGAAAGGATAGGGAGAGGAAAGGAAAGAGAAGTAGAAGATAAGGGATAGGATAAGAAGAGGGAGAAGAGAAAAGATAGAAAAGAGAGAGGAGGAAGAAGACAAGAAGTTAAGCGGAGGGAGAAAAAGGGAAAAGAGAAGAGAAAGGAGGAAAGAAGAGGGAGAAGGGAGGGAGAAGAGAAGGAGAAGGAGAGGAGAAGGGAGAGGAAGGAGGAGTAAAGGAAGGGAGAAGGAGAGGGACGAGGAGGAGAATAAAAGGGACCTGCTACTGCATTCCTCTCCTGTCTTACGTGTGAAGGGGTCCTATCAGCGTCACAGGTGGGTGCGCTGTGGTACGACACCAGAGAGGGAGAGGGGGGGGGGAGAGGGGGAAAGAGCGAGAGGGGGGAAAGGGGAGAGGGGGGAAGAGGGAGAGGGAGAGGGAAGGGGGAGAGGGAGAGGGGGAAAGAGCAGAGGGAAGGAAGGGAGAGGGAAAGTGGGGAAGAGGAGAGGGGGAAGAGCGAAAGAGGAAGGGGATAGGGTGAAGGAGGGCGAGGAGAGGGGAGGGAGAGAGAAGGAGCGAAAGAGGGAGAAGGGGAAGGGCAGAAGTGGAAGGAGTGGGGGAGGGGGAGAGAAGGAGAACAAGAGGAGGTAGGGGAAGGGATAGAGTAGAGTGAAACAAAGAGGGAGAGAGGGAAATGGAGAAGGAGTGGGAGAGAGCAAGACAAAGAGGGAGAGATGGGGAAAGAGGAAAGAGAAGGAGTAAGGGGGAGAAATAAGATATTATAGAAAGAGGAGGAAAACATAAAGGAGAATATGGAAAATGGAAACAGGGGGAGAAGAGAAAGGGAAGCATAAAGGAAGAGAAAGAGAAGGACAAGGAGATAACGAAAGAAGGACACAGGAGAGTAAGAAACGAGACAGAAACAACGAGAAAGAGGAGAGAGGAAGGGTAAGAAGAGAGAGAGAGAGAGCAACGACAATCACATTTTATGAAGGGGGAGGGGGGGGGAGGGGAGAGTGAGAACACCAGACTATAAGCGCTTGGCATGTGACACCAGTAATTTTGTCACGGATAATTCATCTCTTAATAGTAATCTCGATCATGGAGAGGAGGAGAGGGGAGAGGGGAGAGAGAGAGAGGAGGGGGGGATGAGGGAAGGGGGGAGGAGAGGAGGGAAGGAGAGGGGATGGAGAGGGAGGGAGGAGAGGGGGAGGGAGGGAGGAGAGGAGAAGGGAGAGGGGGGGGAGAGGAGAGAGAGAGAGATAGGAGGGGAGAAAGGGGAGAGAGAGGAGAGATGAGAGGAGAGGGAGAGGGGGAGGGGAGGGGGAAGGAGGAGAGGGAAGAGAGGGAGAGGAGAGAGGAGAGGGAGGGGGAGGGACGGAGGGGAAAGAGAGAGAAAGAGAGAGGAGTGTGTGTGTGTGCGTGTGTGTGTGTGTGTGTGTGTGTGTGTGTGTGTGTGTGTGTGTGTGTGGTGTGTGTGTGTGTGTGTGTTTGTGTGTGTGTGTGTGTGTGTGTGTGTGTGTGTGTGTGTGTGCCGCGTGTGTTGCGTGTGTGTGTGTGTGTGTGTGTGTGTGTGTGTGTGTGTGTGTGTGTGTGTGTGTGTGTGTGTGTGTGTGTGTGTGTGTGTGTGTGTGTGTGTGTGTGGCGAGAGACCGGCTCCTGCCCGCCACCTGCCGCTATGATTACTTAATTTCGAGGCCCGAGGACAACTTTTTTTTTTTTTCTTTTTTCTTTTTTCTTTTTTTTTTATTTTTTGCTGCGTACATTTGTCACTTGCCGTTGGGGAGGTTGGTGGGGGGGGGATAAGGAGGAAGGGGATAGTTGAGGAGGAAGGGGAGGGTAAAAGGTAGGGGGAGGGGGTGATCGGAGAGCCTTTACTTCCTCACTATTTTCTTCTTTCTTCTTCGTGTCGATTCGTTTTCCCTATTCCCCCCATCACCCATCTTCCATCTCCCTCCCTCTTCTCTTCTCTCTCCCTCCTCCCTCTCCTCCCCCCCTTCCCCCCCTCCATTCCCCTATTCCCCCTCCCCCAATCACCCATCTATCCATCTCATCCTCCTCTCCTTCTCCTCCTCCCCTCCTTCCCCCCCATCCCCCCATTCCCCCTCCCCCCAATCACCCATCTATCCATCTCCCCCTATCTATCGTGATTCCCCCAAAAGGCTTCCTGTCGCAGCAGAGCCCATTTTTCTCGTGTGTTTTTGCGACGTTAATCTCCCCGTCGTCCCAGGTGGGCCAACCATCACGGGCCTCTGCTTCGGGGGGTAATTTTCTCCTGCAGTTCTTTGTCATCTCGGGTCCTTTCGCCCCGCCGCCGTGTGTGCGCGCATTCACTCACGCACCGGGTTGGGCGCCCGCGTGCACGCACATACTCTGGGAGGGGTTTGTGTGTGGACAGGCTTAGGGGCACGGAGGTAGTGTGTGCTTGCATATACACGTGTTGTAGGTACACATACACACACACTCGTTCTCTCTCTCTCTCTCTCTCTCTCTCTCTCTTCTCTCTCTCTCTCTCTCTCTCTCTCTCTCTTCTCTCTCTCTCTCTCCTCTCTCTCACACAACACCACACACACACACACAACACACGAACACACACACACACACACACACACACACACACACACACACACACACACACACACACACACACACACACACACACACACATCGTACACGCTTTCGTCTTCGTGCTCAACGGTACCAAATTCCGTAAGCAAAAAGAGGGAGGAATTCGGAAAGAAAAAGCAGTGAAGATGAGATTGGTAGCGGGGGGGGGAGGGGGGTAAACAGATTGGCAGACAGACGACAATCAAGGAGAGATACAGACAGAGAGGCATCAGACAGACAGGGAAGACAGATAGACAGAAATGACGACAGGACAGATAGACAGACAGACAGACAAGCAGAGACGAAGACAGACAAGAAAGACAGGCAGGCATACAGACAGAGGAAGAGAGAAAGAAAAGAGAGGAACAGACAAACAGATGGAAGGAGAGGCAAAGGACTTAGAGACAAACACGGAGACAATTAGAGAAGAAAGAGAGAGACAAAGAGAGGCAGACTGAGAGGGAAAGAGAGAGAGAAAGTCAAAGAGAGAGGAAAAACAAAGATACGCAGATGAGGAATAAGAGAAATTTAGAAAAAAAGAAAGAAGAGCGAAGAAAGAGAGAGAGAGAGAGAGAACGAGAAAAATAGAAAGAAAGAGAACGAACGAGAAAAAAATGAGAGAGAGAAAAAAGAGAAGATAGAGAAGAGAGAACGAAAGAAATAGAAAGAAAGAGAGAGCGAACGAGAAAAAAGAGAGAGAGAGACAGAGAGCGAACGAGAAAAAAGAGGAGAGAGAGAGAAAGCGAGAAAGAGAGAGAGAGAGAGGAGAGAGAGAGAGAACAGAGAGCAGAGAGCGAACAGAGAGCGAGAGAGAGAGAGAGAGAGAGAGAGAGAGAGAGAGAGAAAAGAGAAAAAAAGAAGAGAGAGAGAGAGGCAGGCCGCGTCGACAGACAGCAGCTGTTCTCAAGTTGCCCGAGTCATTGTTTATCATTACTCGAAGGTAATTAAGAAATTGACTGCCGGACTTGATCTCCCTCTCTCGTTTTATTACGTTAATTAAGAAATAGATTGGCGGATTAACTTCGCGTTCCTCCGTTATCATCGAGGGAGTTATGAGATAGATTGTGAGTTTTTTATTTGAGTTTATGAGGGTCGGGGTAATGGCTGTGTGAGTGCGGAGGGGAGGGGGGGAGGGGGAGAGGGGGGAATCCTGGTTTTGTTTTAGGATTTGTCAGATGTCGCGTTGGTTAATTGTGGTGTGGGTGGACGTGGGATTTTTTTTTTTGGGGGTGGTGGGGTGAGTGGTGTTGCGTGTGTGTGTGTGTGTGTGTGTGTGTGTGTGTGTGTGTTGTTGTGTGTGTGTGTGTGTGTGTGTGTGTGTGTGTGTGTGTGGTGTGTGTGTGTGCGTGTGTGTGGTGTGTGTGTGTTGGTTTTTGCTATGGTATGTATTATTTAATCTATTTATTTATTCATTTACATATTTTACGATAATGGGATGAGTTGTCTTACTAATATTTCGATTATATGTCATCACTACAAATTTAATTAATTATCTATTTATTTATATATTTTACTACAACTTACCATTCACCCCCCCTACCACCACCCCTCCCCACCCACCCCTCCCACACCACAACCACCACTACAACGACCTCTTCTTCCCTCCTCGCGAGCACATCAACAACGACCACATTCACGGCCAACAAGAAGTCGTTCGTGTGCCGTTGGAAGGACTGTTCGCGGGAGGAAAAGCCGTTCAAAGCCCAGTACATGCTGGTCGTCCACATGCGGCGCCATACAGGAGAGAAGCCTCATAAATGCACGGTAAGGAGGGCGTTTTTTTGTGGTTGGTAGATTGATGGACTGATGATGGATGGATGGATGGATTGATGGATAGATAGATTGATTGATTGATATTGATAGATAGATGGTTGATTGATAGATTGATGGATAGATAGATTGGTGATTGGCTGATTAGATTGATAGATAGATAGATGGATGGATGGATAGATTGATAGATGTCTTTCCCTCCTCCCCATCCTCCCCCTCCCCGTCTTCCCTTCCATCCTTCTCTTCTCCCTCCTTATCCTCCCCTTCCCCTTTTCCTCCCTTCATACCTTCCCCACCCAGCCCTTTCCCCATACCCACCCTCCCTTCCTTCGCCCTCAATCCCCACTCTCCTTCACCCTCTATCCCCCTTCCCCTCCCCTTTGCACCTCTATCCCCCTACCCCCATCCCCATCCCAACCCATCCCCCCTCCCTCACCCTCATCCCCACCCTCTCTCTCCATTCCCCTCCCCACCCTCCCCCCCCCCCTCTCTCCCCCTTCCCCTCCCCAACCATCCCATCCTACCCTTGCAGAAGGTGTCATCCCCCACGCCCTCTGCCTCTTCTCCGCCCGGGATGAATATGTGTTTAGTGATCACGTCCCCAATTAGGGCATTTTTTCGGGCGCGCGAGATATATGTCACAATTACCGCGCTGATAAGAACGGGAAATTGAAATGCGCCATGATATATTCGACCTCCATTTATGTCCCTCGGGTTACGAATGCCTTGCTCGCTCTCGCTTCTCTCGTCTCGCTCTTTCGCTCCTCTCTCCTCTCGCTCTCTCTCTCTCTCTCTCTCTCTCTCTCTCTCTCTCTCTCTCTCTCTCTCCTCTTCTCTCTCTCTCTCTCTCTCTCTCTCTCTCGCTCTCTCGCTCTCTCGCTCTCTCTCTCTCTCTCTCTCTCTCTCTCTCTCTCTCTCTCTCTCTCTCTCTCTCTCTCTCTCTCTCTCTCTCTCTCTCTCTCTCTCTCTCTCTCCTCTTCTCTTCTCTCCCCGTATTTCGTATCCCTGTTTCTGTCTCTCCTTCGTACCTTTGTTCGTTTCTTCTTCTTTTTTTCTTTTTCTTCTTTCTTCTCTCCTTCCTTCTCTCCTCCCCCCTGTAACTTTGCTTCTCCTCATCTGCCTCCTCCTCCTCCTCCCCTCCTCCTCTTACTCCTCTCCTCCTCCTCCTCCTCTCTCCTCCTCCCTTCCTCTACTCCTCCTTCCTCCTCCTCTCCTCCTCCTCCTCCTTCAGTGATCAGACCAAACCCGCAACGCAGTGATCTCGAGGTAGATTAATGGAGGTCCTATTCTGTTCTGCTAACCACAACTGCATTATTTCTCTTTCCCTCTCCTTCTTCTCTGTCTCTGTTTCCGCCGTCCTCTCTCTCTTTCTTTTCTTTCTTTCTTTCTTTTCTTTTCTTTCTTTCTTTCTTTCTTTCTTTCTTTCTCTCTCTCTCTCTCTCTCTCTCTCTCTCTCTCTCTCTCTCTCTCTCTCTCTCTTCTCTCTCTCTCTTCTCTCTCTCTTCTCTCTCTTCTTCTCTCTCCTTCGCTTCTCCCTTCCTTTCCTCCCTTCTCTCCCTATCTTCCCCTCCACTCTCCCTCTCCCTCTCCCCTTTCTCCTTTGTCTCCTCCTCTCCCCTCTCCGCTTTGTCCCCTGACTTTTGTCTCGCCAACCCCGAGTAATTTAGTCGATGACGTCACACGCCTTCTCGTCATGTCTCTTTCTTTCCCGAATCGACGAAGAAAACACCGCCTGATCTGTCACCCTGACTCGTCTCTCGAGGGGACTATACGAGCGCAAATAACCAAGTCGAAAGCAAAATAAAAACAAAGAGAGAGAGAGAGAGGGGGGGGATAAAGGGAGGGAAGGGATGAGAGGGGAAATAGTTCTAGAGGGGGAATGAATTTCGTGGAGATATCCAATTAGTGGGTTTGGGTACTTATCGTGTCTCTTTTCGCAGTCGATTCCACGGTCGCGCTGTGGGGATACGTGTCCATTTGTTGTACTTGTGGAATCTCTTGTCTTCATTTCTTCTTCTCTTCTCTTTGCTCTTTCTTTTTCTGTCTGTTCCCTAGTTCCCTTTACTCAACTTTCCTCTTTCCTCTCTCTTCTTGATTTTATTTCTCTTATCCTCCCGCTTTTCTTTTACTGTCCTTCCTCCCTCCTTTCTCTTCTCTTTCCTCTTCTCTTATTACATTCTCTCTCCTCCCCTTCGCCCTTTCCCCTTACCCTTCTCCTGCCATCCCCCTCTTCTCCTTTTCCTCTCCTCCTCTTCTCCCTTTTCTCCTCCTCTGTCCTATTCTCACCTTCGCTCTTCCCTCTCTTATCCAATTCCTTCTCCCCTCCCCTCCTCCCCTCCTCCCCCTCCCCTCTCCTTCCCCTCCCCTTCCCCCTCTCTTCTCCTCCTCCTCTCCTCCTCCCCCTCCCCCTCCCTCCTCTCCTCCTCCCCTCTCCTCCTCCTCCTCCTCCCCTCCCCTCTCTCCCTCTCCTCCTCCTCCCCCCCCCCCCCATCGAGCCAGGGGCCTTCCGCAACCTCGCATTACCTAAACAGTTCATCAGAGAACATAAATTTCCCCGTGATGTATTGTAGTGTTAAGTAGGACCTTCCAGTAACATGTCTTCCTGTAATGACTCTCAGAATAAATGCGTGTGCGTGTGTGTGTGTGTGTGCGTGTGTGTGGGGGTGGGTGGGGGTTGGGGGTTGTGCGTGTGTGTATGTGTGTGTGTGTGTGTGTGTGTGTGTGTGTGGCGTGTGTGGTGGGGGGGATGGGGGGTGGGGGGTTGTGCGTGTGTGTAGTGTGTGTGCGTGGGTGTGTGTGAGGGTGGGGGGTGGGGGGTTGTGCGTGTGTGTAGTGTGTGTGTGGGGGGTGTGGGTTGTGTGTGTGTGTGTGTGTGTGTGTGCGCGCGCGCGCGTGTGTGTGTGTATAGTGTAGTGTGTGCGTGTATGTGTGTTTGTGTGTGTAATGACTGTCTGTGTCTGTTTGTCTGTTTGTCTATCTGTCTGTCTGTTTGTCAGACGAATGAGGGAAAAAATGAAATATTTCCCGGACGTGCGTGGGACCTGTTGTCGTGTTCGGTTTGATTACCTTTCCGTCCATCCGAAACCTCCTGTACCCTCCTTCCTCTCTCTTTCTCCCTTCTCCTTCTCTCTTTTATACCTTCCCTTCCCCTCCTCCCCTTTTTACCTTTTACTTCCCTCCCCTTTACTGTCCTCCCCCCCCCCCCCCCTTCTCTCTCTTTTACTTCTTTTCCCTTTTACCTCCCCTCTCCCTTTCCCTCCCCTTTCTTTCTCTTACTCCCTTTCCCTCCCTCCCCTCACTCTCCTCCCCTCCCTTCCCTCCCCTCCCCCTTTTTACCCCTCGCTCTCCTTTCTTAAAATGCAACACCTCTGCCTAATTGCCAACACAGCTCGCAACAAGGGCTAATCACAGCAAACAGCGCGTCCCTCTTTTATAAGCTGTAAAAAGCCGAGTTCGAACCAATTGTCATTCGGCGCGTAACTGCCTCTCCAGCCGTGGGTCATCGGCTTGTCCAATTATCCTTAATGAATCTACAAATCACACATGTCTTGGGGAGTCGAGGCCCTCTGGACCACTTGATTGCGTCCTGGCCCTCTCGCTCTCTCTTTCTCTTCTCTCTCTCTCTCTCTTCTCTCTCTCTCTCTCTCTCTCTCTCTCTCTCTCTCTCTCTCTCTCTCTCTCTCTCTCTCTCTCTCTCTCTCTCTCTCTCTCTCTCTCTCTCTCTCTCTCTCTCTCTCTCTCTCTCTCTCTCTCTCTCTCTCTCTCTCTCTCTCCTCCCCTCTTCTCCCCTCCACCTCCTTTCCCGTCCTCTCCTCTCCTTTCCACCTTCCCTCCACCTCTTTCTCCTTCCCCTCCCCCCCCTCCCCTCCCCTCCACCTTTCCCATCCTCTCCCCTCCCCTCCTCTCCTCGGCCCACTCTCCCTCCCCTCCACCTCTTCCCTTCCCCGTGTACCTTCCTGCCTTTCTTTTCCCCCTCTCTCTCTCTCTTCCCCTGCTCTTTGCTTTCCATTCTCCTGCTTCCCCCTTTCTCGTCTTTGCCTGCCTTTCTCTTCCGATTTCCTTTTTCCTATGTATCCCCTCCTCCTTACTTCCCCTTCTCCTACCTCCCCGTTTCTCCCCGGCTTCCCGTCCACCTTGTTTTTTCTTTCTCTCTCCCTCTCCTCCCCCCCTCCCTCCCTCCCTCTCCCACTTCTTCCTCTCCCTATCCCTCTCCCTCCCCTCCCTCCCTCCCTTCTCTCCCACTCCCCTCCCTCTCTCCCTCCAATCCCTCTCCACACTCTCTCTCTCTCTCTCTCTCTCTCTCTCTCTCTCTCTCTCTCTCTCTCTCTCTCTCTCTCTCTCTCTCTCTCTCTCTCTCTCTCTCTCTCTCTCTCTCTCTCTCTCTCTCCCTCTCCCTCTCCCTCTCCCTCTCTCTCCTCTCCCTCTCTCTCCCTCTCCCTCTCCCTCTCCTCTCCCTCTCTCTCCTCTCTCATTCCTTTGTCTCTCTCCTCCTCCTCTCCTCCGCATTCTCCGCTTTTAAATGTCTCTCTAATTACAATCGCCGTTGCTCATTTCGCTTTCTGATTGGGTCTCCTCCCCCTTAATCCAGGTAATTGGTGGAGCTGTTGATAATCTCATTGGTACCCTTATTATTACCTCGATGACCGTTGGTATTATCGCCATTGGTACTTTGTCATTTGTGGGCGATGTTTTTTTTTTTTTTTTTGTCAGCCGGTGTTCTATTAGTTTTCTTTTTCTTTTTTTGTTTTGGTTTGGTTTTCTTTTTTCTTGTGTCATTGACTTTTTTCTCTTATTTTATTTTACTTCTGTTTCGTTTTCTTTTTTTCATCTTTGCTTCTTCTTCCATTCTCTTTTTCTCTTCTTCTTTGTATTCCATTTATTATTATTATTATTATTCACTCCTTTTTTTTCTTCTTTTCTTTCTTTTTCTTCTCATCTTACGTTTTCTTTTTGGTCTTCGTCTTTTTTTCCTCCAGCCTCTCTTCCTTTTCTTCTCCCTCTTTTTCTCCTCTTCTTTCTTCTATTCCTTATTCATACTGTCTTAATCCTTGCGTTTAATCATCTTTACCTTATCATTATCGCTATCATTTTTATCTTTACTATTATGACGATCATTATCATTGTTATGGTCATTATCATTATTGTCATTAGTATCAATATCATTATTATTATTATTATTATTATTGCTATCATTATTATTATTGTTGTTAATATTATCTTTATTGCTACTATTACTTCTACTACTACTATTATCATTATCATTATTATTATTATTATCATTATTATTATTATTATTTATTATAGTAGTAGTAGTAGTAGTAGTAGTAGTAGTATATTTTTATTATTATCATTATAGTAGTAGTTAGTATCATATTATATTATCATCATCATTCATTAATTAGTATCATCATTATTATTATCATTATTATTATTAATTATTATCATTATTTGTTGTTTTATTATCATTATTATTATTATTATTATCATTATTATAATCATTCCTCTAAGATGCGTTCCCCTTCCCTTGCAGTTCGAGGGCTGCTACAAGGCGTACTCTCGCTTGGAGAACCTCAAGACCCACCTGCGATCTCACACGGGGGAGAAGCCCTACATGTGCGAATTCCCCGGGTGTACGAAGGCCTTTTCCAACGCTTCGGACAGAGCCAAGCACCAGAATCGCACGCATTCGAACGAGGTGGGTTCCCGTTTTCTGTGATTTTTATTTTTTTATTTTCCCTTTTTTTTTGCAGATTTTTGACTTGGATTTTGTTCGTTCTAACGTCTTTGAATAAGTAGATAGGTTGATTAACACATTAACTGATTAACAGATATTTAATATTGTAAGAATGTGATATTAAATATTCTTTTTTCTCTATCGAAGTGTGATGCTATAGGATTGAATTTCACATCTGCTGTGTGGTATTAACCTTTAATAATAACCTAATGAATCACCCTACACATCTATCGGCCAATCGTGATTACTTACACATCACGGGGAGATATACATACATACATACACACATATATACATACATACATACATACATACATACATACATACATACACACACACACACACACACACACACACACCACACACACACACACACACACACACACACACTATATATATATATATGTATGTATATGTATGTGTATGTATGTATATATATATATATATATATATATAAGGGTCATGGCTAGTTACAGAAGACATCAGCCAGTGGGAGAGGGGTAGCGAAATATATCCAGCAGTCAGACACGGCAGTGAAATACGAGCGTCTCGCAGGATAATGAATTATATCAGTAAATCAGGGCGGGCAGGGAATACATATATATACCGGAGGTGGAGTTGTTAACAAGAGCGGCCACCGCACAAGGCCAGGCGCCCGCGGGGAGGCGGCCTTTTCGGGCGGGAAAGTCACCCGACGCCCGCGGGTCGAGCGGCTTTTGTTTTTTTCTCCCCCGGGGTTTAGTGCATCTGGGGCGGGGAGGGGGTGGGGGGTCTTGGGGAATGATGCGATGTTTGTTGGAAGCAGATGGATTGTATGTGTGTATAGATACGCAGATATATATATTTTTTTCATTGATGTGTATATATGCAGACATATATATATGTATATATATATATATATATATATATATATATATGCATATATATATATATATACATATATACATAATATATATATATATATAATATATATATATATAATTATATATGTATATATATATACATATACATATACATATATGGGTATATTAAAGCTAAACTCAATATACAAAATCACAACACACACACACACACACACACACACACACACACTGGCCACCCGACCCGAAGACACCCCGGCGAGTCCCGCTCTCGTGCCCCGTAGATCTCGGACAAAGAGTAACCAATAAAGATGAAAGATTTATGACTAATGATTCTAACATCGGTATATTTCTCTCTTCCTTTCCCCACCTCCTTCTCCGCTTCCCTTGCAGGAGATCGGGTATGTTATGGAACCTTTATTAGTGTAAGTGTATGTGCGTGTGTGTGCTTGTGTGTGTTGCTCGCCACGCCTCACTTGCATGTGGCTGCTTGCACTTGGAAAAGCTTTTATCTTCCATCCTCCGTTTTTTATGTGTATATTTATTTCTCTGTGTGTGTTTGTTTAGCGAGTCTTAAGCGTTTATTCCCGTTTTTTTTTTTTTTTTTTTTTGTGAAATGGCCTTAAATATTGGGTATCATATGTTTTTTCTTGATGTTTCGTGTTTTTCTCTTTTTCCGATATTATGTCTTGGATATTCATAAATGTCAAGCAATTATTAAAAAAGAGAGATGTTACCGCATGAAAACATACAGAAAAGCAAAAAAAAAAATCAAAAGCGATGTCGCTGACCCCCCCCGCTCCCTCCGCAGAAGCCGTACGTGTGCAAGGCGCCGGGCTGCACCAAGCGGTACACCGACCCTTCGTCCCTGAGGAAGCACGTGAAGACGGTGCACGGCGCGGACTTCTACGCCTCCAAGAAGCACAAGGGCAACGACCACCCGAGCGCCAACCCCGGGGGAGGCGGCGGCGAAGGCAAGGACGGCGGCGCGACGCACCCCGAGGGCTCGCCGCACTCCGACGGCGGCAAGGGCGGATCCCTGTCCAGTCCTTCGGTAAGTCCACGCTCGTGTTACTTCTTCCTCCTCTCTTTATCCTTCTCCTCCTTCTTGTCTCCCTCCTTCATATTCTTCTTCGTGCAATGCATATTACTGATCCCTGTGAGAGAATCCCAGCAGCCATTAACACTTGCCTGGCGCCCGCAGGAGCCGACGTCGCCGGGGCAGCAGCACAGCCCCAACATGGAGACGGTGGTGGGCGGCGCCACGCCCATGGACCAGAGCCGGCTGCTGGACGGCCCCATCAGCGACAACAACGTGACGACCACCGGCGGCTACGAGAGCGTCCTGGAGCAGGAGGAGGTGTGGGACACCGTGGAGGACGACCTCGACGCCAGCGTGGACCTCCCGGTGGGCGTGGCGAGCCTGAACGGCGTGGACGGCCCGCTCGGAGGCCAGGTCAACCTGCAGGAGCGCAACATGCGCAACCGCCTCAAGAACCGGCTGCAGTCCAAGGGCCTGGCCAACATCCTGCCCAACATCCCCGGCGGCCCGCGGCGCTCCACCGGCAGCGGCGTCGGCGAGCTGTCGCAGCGCATCACCGACCTCAAGATGAGCGGCGGCATGACCACGCCGCTGCAGGCGCGCAAGAACCTGATCGACCTGCACTTCCGGCCGGGCCAGACGCAGCAGCAGAACAGCCGCCGCGACTCCAACTCCACCGTGAGCACCTACTACGGCAGCATGCGCAGCGACTCGTCCCCGCACCCGAACAGCCGCCGCTCCAGCGAGGTGTCGCAGGTCTCGGGGGCGTCGATGGGCCGCCAGAACATGGTGCCGTCGCCCTACGACCCCATCTCGCTCGGCTCCTCCAGGAGGTCGTCCGAGAACTCCAACTACAACATGGCCGGCATCGCCTGCTCCATGAACTCGCACCTGGCCAAGCTGCAGCGCCGCGCCATGGGCCCCGCCGAGCTCTACAACACGTCCAACCTCGTCGTGCAGGTCAGTTGCCTCGCCTTTCGTGGAGGACCTCCCTCCCTCTGGTCGGTCATTAATGCCTATTTTTGCTAATTTGCCTCTTGATAGATTGGATAAAAGCAGCAGCACGATGTTGACGCTCTCTTCCTTCCAGACGCAGAACATGTCGCTGAGCCAGGATAACCTGCACGGCGGATGGGCCAGCAACATGGGCGGGGCCATGAGCGCCTCCATGGGCGGCGGGGGCGGCCACTTCGGCCCCTCAGGACCCCTGGGCCCCCCTGACCCCCAGTCGCACTCCGAGGGCCCCAGACGCGCCTCAGACCCCGTGCGGCCCCTGGACCGCGGGATGGGCTGCGGGCCCGATGGCGCCGCCGCCGGACGGAGGCTGCAGAGACACCACAGCTACTCGACCTTCAACCCCCGCACGCCCCTGCCGCCCATCACCCCGCGGCACCCCAACCAGGGCCTGCAGCTGGACCAGGTGGCCGAGGACGAGCCCATCGAGAACAAGCTGGTCCTTCCCGACGACATGGTCAACTACCTCAACCAGGTCGGTCTCCACGACGGATGCCTTTGTAAACCGTTGTTATGCTTAACGTGCTCATTTATAGGATATTTAGATAGAGAGATTGATAGATATATAGTTGAATATAGATGAATTATATGTACAGAGATGTTAATATGTATATCAGTATATGAAAATATATGCATATTTATATAAATACAAATATTAGTATAATTGTATATCATTATATATGAATGTGTAATTGCATATATATATATATATATATATAATATATATATTATATATATAATATATATATATATATATATATATATATATAAATATATGTGTAGATATATATATGTGTGTGTCTGTGAGTATGATAGATATATAGAGAGAGAGAGAGAGAGAGAGAGAATGTAAACGTCACTCGTTGCGCGTACCTATTCCAAGGCTGTTTACCATGCCCATAACCCTTTCCCTCCCGCAATGACTGACCTTTTCCTCGCTCCCGCAGAAGGGAAACGGAGACAAGATGAAGTCGGACGCCAAGGACGGCCGGCGCCAGGGCGGGACGCCCACGATGCACCACGCCCAGATGCCCTCGCCGGCCTACAGCGGGCAGCCCATGCCCAGCCCGGCCTACTCCAACCAGTCCATGCTGAGCCCCGCCTACTCCAACCAGCCCCTGCAGTCCCCGGCGAGCAACTACCAGTACCCTCAGGCCTCCCCGGGCTACTCCGTGCCCTCCCCCGCCCACCCCCACGGCTACAGCGGCCAGCCCATGCCCTCGCCCGCGACGCCGCAGCAGTTCAACAACCCCATGGCCTCGCCGGCGCCCGCGGCGGCGCAGGCCTTCAACCAGATGTCGCCGGCCTACCCCCACCAGGCCATGCCCCCCAGCTACTCCATGCCCCAGCAGGGCCAGTACCCGCAGCAGCAGTACCCGCAGCAGCAAGGCCAGGGGGTGATGGGCCAGCACATGTACGGGCCCATGATGCAGCAGGGCAGGTACCCTGGCGGCATGGGCGGCGGGCCCGGCGGCGGCTACGGCATGGGGCAGGGCTACGGGCCCGTCCACGCCTGCGGCCACCTGGCGCCGCCCAACCTGCCCCCGCCGGCGTACCAGGCGCCCTGCGCGGGGTGCCAGGGCCGAGGCGGCAGCGCCATGGCGGGCGACATGAGCGGGTACCCGGGGCAGCAGGGCGCCATGGCCAACTGGCAGGGCTCGCAGATGAGCATGAACCAGTTCCAGGGCCAGCAGTACGGGCCGCAGCACCACATGAACGCCATGGGCGCTCAGGGGGCCATGGGCTACATGGGCATGGCCGGACAGTACCCCAACCACGTGGCGCCGAACGGGAACATGATGCCCATGCCGTACCCGGGCTCCCTCGGCGGCGACGTGCAGTGCCGGGACGTGAGCCAGTCCTCACAGACCAAAGGAGGCAAGTCGAAGGCCTCGGTCAAGGCGGCGGCGGCGGCGGCGCTGCGGGTGCCGTCAACGCCGCGACGGTGGCCGGCGGCGGTGGCGCGGGCGGCGCGGGCGGCGGCAACGGCGCCCTCCACCAGCCAGGCGCAGGCACGGCGTCGTCTCTGCCGTGCCCGCCGGTGGACAACAGCCCGACCGACACGAAGGCCGTCGACACTAAGGCCGTGGACACGAAGAGCAACAGCAAGAGCTTCATGAAGCCCGACACGTACCAGCGCACCCTGGAGTACGTGCAGCAGTGCCACAGCTGGAGCTCCACCGTGGTCAAGGAGGAGGTGACCAGCACCACGGACCAGAAGCCCAAGCTCAACCCCAACGGCACCGTGGCGGGCTACACGGGGCCGGGCTCGCAGGCCAGCCTCGCCGTGCCGCAGCCGCAGCAGCCGCAGCAGCCGCTCGCCGCCCCCCAGCAGCCCCAGGGAGGCTCCAGGTTCGCGACGCCGCTCCCGGTGGCCCTGGCGGAGACCTCCAACATGGTGATCAACGACATGAGTTCCTCGCTGACGTCGCTGCAGGAGGAGAACAAATACCTTCAGATGATGCAATGACGACCCGGGCCCTTGACCTGTGACCCGGTCAGGTCGGGTCGCTCTCCTGAGGCTCGTGACCCTGTGTGTCGTAGTATAACGGATGACTGTGATGACTTAGTTTGTAAATACTGATTTAACATTAATATATTTGTACAAATTCTTCCTGTGTTGAGAACTCGTGAACGTTTGACTCCCAGTGGTTCCGCCCCAGAGACTCTCAAGGGCTTTTTCGTGCCAACTTTATCACTGTATAAAAAAAAAAATAGTTCCAGATCAACCAGTATCCTATAGACTCAACTACCACTACCTTAGCGTCACAACTACCACCAAACACCCTTATTAAACCCCCCTCTCCCAATCAGCTGAATGTCGCACCGCCATCAGCTGATCAAAGTGCCTGAACCTGTCAAGTTACCGTTACTGCCAAGTTACCTTTAAGTTCATTACTACCTGAATCCCCCCCCCTCAAGCTGCCCATGTTACCAGCATGTGCTTAGAATACCACAGACTCCCATCTTTCAATTGCTTGTTGGCCACAAAACCACCGCCGAAAATTGCCACTCATTCAACTCCTTGACTAAAGGGTAGTTGCAAGTCAGATATTAGGCGAATAAGCCCAGTCATGACCTTCCCACCTAAAGCTCATTGCAATACAGCCACCCTGTAAATTATATCTATCGAAGAATCGTCAATTTTCCAGTTGATATACAACCAAGAGGTTCCAGGTAGTTTCCCACTCGTTTCCAAAATAAAGTGGTAGTTCACGGTGGCCACTTCGACCAGAGAAATGGCATAGTTTCAAGAAGCAGTTTTAGGAAGGTCTTCGCCAGCAAATCAGATCAACTGGAGTCACAGATTGAAAGCTTTTCCCCTGGTAAACTCTGACCAGCTTGGCAAGGTCCCCCTCCCCCTCCCCGACTTGACAGGGTTCATGAACAGCATGACAAAGTTCGTAGTAATTAGCATGACAAGGTTCGTATTTATTATCCGCACGTGTTCAGATTCCCTCCGACATAACGTGGTTTATGCGGATCGGAGTTGTACAGAAAAAAACGGTCCAAGGTATGAACACACCGTGATCCAAGACGAGAAACAGTATACAGTTTTTGTCGGTTGTGAGTGTGACAGTGTTCTGAAAAGGGGGTCTACAAAAAAAACAGAATTAGACTGTCTAGATACAGGGCCAGAACGGTTGTTTCCTCGCCCACAGACACCCGAAAAGACAAGACTATCGTGTATCCTCGAGTGCGATCCGCCAGGCAGACAAATAGACAGCCACCGCGTGCCAAAGTGTACCCGTGTAGTGTTGACCGAGTGTGAACCGAGTGTGAACCGAGCAAGTGTCGCCAGCCAGCGAGCCAGCCTCGTGAGAGAGACAAATTAGCTGGCTCTGTGATTCCCCCAATACCTCATATAATCGCCAGCCTTCAGTGTCACACGCACGGACGCACGACGCAGGTCAGATTCACGGCGCCCGGCCCTCTGACCGCCGAGCCCTCTTCCGCCAGATCAACAGAAGCAACAGCAGACGAGTGCCATGCAGAGAGCCAGCCATCCACACCAGTGCCAAAAGTTGCCTATGAAACCCGTCCCTGATTGTGCCATAACACGTTGGCCATATCCAGGAGTCGCTAATTGTACCAACAATGTAAAAATATTGTATATTAAAAACTAATTATTTAAGCAGTAACAACAGTGGTGACTTCATCCTGTCTCTCCATATCTCCAATTGTACTTACGATATTCTCTTTTTTACATAATAGATAAATAACTTCTTTGAATAAAGACGTTTTACACGGATAAAAGTTTTGTTTATTTATATACAGCATTTACTATTATATATGTGCGAGTCCACCTAGTATGTATATTTACCATCATCCTTTCACTGACAGGAAATTGTAAAATAAAATGTAAAACGCGTAATTATAAAGCATTTATTTAATCGAAGCAAAATGCCTCGATTGGCCAATATTCAACCTGTTCAAATAGCATCATTGAACTTCAGAAATTTATCATTCGTGACCTATCACTCGTAGAAAAAATGATTTTCATTAATCAAGACTAGATTACCTCGATATAAAAAAACAAGTTACGCATATCAAGTGTTCCTTTAATGTTCACTTAAACATTACTGGACATACAACATCCTCACCATATTTTTCCCTTAATGAAGGATTGAGTTATGTTTTTTTTCCATTTTCACAGATCAGAAAATATCGTTACATAATTTCGACATCAGGGGAACATTTTGCCAAATTGATCGATGATGTAAATGTAATGTTAATAAAACCAGTGCTTGAAATTTTAATTACTGAAATGCTAAAGAAATCGGATTTATTCTACTTCACAAAATATATATATATATATATTATATATATATATAATATATATATATATAGTGTTAATTTGCAAAATTTGTAGTATCGGCGTTTCAGTGCACAAAAAATTATATATCACGTCATAAGATATTCGGGAATAAGAAAGGAAATTTAAAGACAAAAATATGTATGGTCGCAATTATGGATGTAATTTTTGTATATGATAGTATAAAAAGACAGATTCCTGTTTTGTGACGTCATAAAATTAATGATTTCACAGAAATAAATGAATGATAACAGTAGCAATTGCAATGGTAGTGGTCAAAATAAAGATAATCAAAATAAGAATGATGATAATAAAATTACATTATATTAATAATACAACATAATAAAAAGAATAATCAAGAACAAATATAGTAATGCTATCTCGTATGATGGTATCGTTTACTAATACACTGATATAAGAGCAAAAATGCTAAAATTTTCAATTAATAATGATAAGACCAACAACAATAATTAATGATATGATAATTAAGATTAGATAGTGATAATGATTATATAATGATGATGACAATGACAATAATAATAACTGGTTATTATCATTATCATGGTAAGCCATATAAAGAGGCACCCTGAAAAATCGAGAATTATACCACCAAAGACATCAATAGAGGTCAAAGCACATCTAAGAAAGAAAGAGAAGACAGAAAATCGTCAGCTATTTACATGGTAAAAAACTTATTAGTTGAACCCTTAACTGATCAAGAGTCAGAGAAGTTATAATCTCTGAAGGTAATCTATTTTAAATCCAACAGATAGCATAAAAAATAGAAAACTGAGGTATAAACGATCGACTTGCATCTAATGTTATAGAATTGAGGATCATAAGAATTTCTAGTAACAAAAGGTTGATAAAAATCGGTTACAATCTTGTATAAAACTGAGAGCCCTGATATCCCTATGCTGCCCAATATCCAAATCTAAGTCGAATAGGAGAAATTTGATAGAATTAAAAGAAACAAGCAATCCTAATTATGTCTCTACAGCAGTTAACCACACAAAAGAACAATAATCAACATGAGGCATAATGAAAGAAAAAAAAATCCTACGAGTAATATTATCGTCTTCATAAATCTTGTACGTGCGAATGATGCCTAACTTATCATGATAATAATGATGATTAGAGAAATAATGATAATAAACATGATACTGACGAAATCATTAATATGAAATCTAAAATCTCATCTTAAAAATCCATACCATAAAACAAGTATATAAGAAATAAAACCAACCTAGTAAAATTACCGATACACAACAAAACAAGACCCATAAAAACACGAAAAATTAAGCAGATAAAAGCCAAACAAAGGAATAAACAAGACCAAAAGTACATGCGAGTTATCGAGCATGAGGAAAGCAGAGACAACAAGCACAATGAAAGAAAAAAAATTGATAAAAGATAATAGTTTTATAATAGTACAAATAATAGTTACGGTATGTTACTAACAATAACAGTAATGATAATAGCAATACTATTTCTGCTATTACTACTACTACTACAAATGGAAATAAAGATAAGGATTATAGTAATAACTATGGACGGAAATGTGAATAGTGATAATAGTATTACAGCAGTAATGATAATGATAATAATAATATTTATTATTATTATTATCATGATTATAATGATAATAACAGTGATAATGGTAATAATAACCACCGCAGCAACAACAAAACAATAACAGTAGTAATGAAGATAATAATAATGAAAATAAAAAGAGATAATGATAATGACCATGATAACGCTAACGACAACAATAATAATAAACACGATAATACAGTTATTAATAGTGAAGTGAGATAGGGCTACAATAGCCAGCGTCGCTTTCAAAATATTCAGGTTGCAGGATCCAGAGTCGAGGCCGGAATGAACCCTTCTTTGGCTCCGGGAAAAGCGTTTCTAGACACTTGCTCGTGTTCTCCAAGGATATGCGTTCCCTTATCAAGGTCCTTCTCCGCCATTCCACCATTACTCTTAGGTGTATCAGAAAAGTTCCAGGACTGATGTCACAAAAGATTTATTTCAAACCCAAATTTCACACTGAGAGTTTTTCCCTTCAAAGTAATCCCCCTAGAGTCTAATGCATTTTCTCATCCTTCTCTGCCATGCTTGTATGCACTCCTGGAAGGATTCTTCCTGGATCCACTGCAGTTCTGTTGTCACAGCCTTTTTTATGTCGTCCACATCTTCAAAATGGGTCCCCTTGATGACCTCCTTGACACAGAGCCAGGTCGGGGGAATAGGGAGCATCGAATAGAATAGCTCTTCTCGGCCAGGAACTGTAGGATGGTCAGGGCATTGTGAGCAGGCGTGCGTCATGGTGAAACAGCTACGAGTTGTCCTGTCACAACTTTCGCCTCTTCTCACGCACTGAACGAAACAAACGCTGCAGTATCTCTTTGTAAACATGTTGATTGATCGCTTGGCCCCTTTGAA